AGTTGAAAGCTGTTTCCTAATTAAAAAAAAAAAGTTCTGTTCCATTTTTCCTAATGACCTGCCGCCTAAACTTCCGCTTGATTCCCATCGACACCTCTCGCATCACGTGTCCTCCCTCACAAGCGCCAGCTTGGCTGCTGTTGCTGCTCTCGACGCCGTCTTTTTCCAGAATATCACTTGCCCTGCCCTGTGCGCGCATACCGTGCATAGCCCGCTGATATTTCCGGCGCCCATAAATCGTGGCCGGGGAGAAAGGGGGGCAAGTGCGTTGCGTCTGTGAATGCCCGAGACGGGAATGCTGCTCAACTGTCTCACCATCTTTGACTACAGGTGAGAGAGGTCGACTACAGGCTACAGGGGGGACCCCAGGGGTTCATGGGTTCTTTAAACTGGTTCTTTCAAAGGTACGTCAGAATCGTACACGGGATGTAATTCCCCGACCCGCTGACCGCAACGCGCCTGCTACGCGTTACGCCGTTTGGTTAAGATTTACTTTACATATTCTGCTAGTGGCATTTTTAATTTTACCTACTTAAATACCTATTTTGAAAGGCACCGGCCAGGCGTTTGAAATGAAATTTTTCGACCAAACATGGCCGGTTTTTGGCCAAAGTTTAGCTTACTTAGATCTTACTATGGGACTTCCTATTACGTTATCATAAATCTCTATGTAGACTCATGTGCAACCCCCCGATAATGCAAAAGAACCTTTTGGTCTAGCGTTGAATGCGGTCTTGGTCGAATTTTTCGATTTTTTCGATCGGATTATTACTTCGGAAATGACTTTCCGGAAGTATGGTTTTCTGCAATTTTTATGGCCATCTACCTTATTTTCTGCTAAGAATCTAATCCTGAATATTTCGCCTTGCTTGCCCCTTTAAAATCGCCGGAAAATTCGGGCGCCGCTTGCCGGACGATAATCAGTGGACGGTGTGTGGATATGGGCATCGCAAAGGGGGTTGAGAGATGTGGGGGGGGGGCTGCTGCTGGGGCGAGGCGCACATTCCACGCGCGTTTCCGCCACATTCCTCGGTACGCGCACGCATACACACCGTGGGGAACAGGGTGGTGGTGGTGGTGGTGCTTTTCCTTCCTTTCCTAGCCTCTTCCTCCTCCTCCTCTTCCTCTTCTTCCCCTTCCATATCAGCCATTCCCCCCATTCTCCACCCACCGTCATCCCCCCAACCCATCACTAGAAACACACCCAACTCGGCGGCTACGTGCCGTCGATTCGTAGAAGTGTCACGTGACGCGTTTCAATTTGCAGTTAATTAGTTTGCTTTATTAGGTTCTTTTGCATTATCGTGGGTGGTTTTTCCCTAAAACTTCAGAAATGCCTGACAACGTAATAGTACGTTTTATAATAGCGCACGGCGACTCTGGCGAGAAATTGCCCCCCTCCCCCCCGCTAACAGTCGAGAACCTTGATTTTGACGATTTCTTATCGCCAAGCACATTCGAGTTGCTATCGAGTTGAGTTGTGTCGTTGTTCACGGCGTTTCAGAGCGCGCACGGGAGGGGTGGTCGGGGCGTGGTGTAGTGGTCTAAGGCGGCGGTCCAGCCCTGAGACAGGGGGTGCGGGTTCGATTCCCGAGGCCGCAAACCTCTGCGTTTTCTTTTTGCTTTTTGCTCCAAATGTTCATAAAGGAATTCCGTAACCCTATGAAACCCCAAAAAAGCTGGCTAGCACCTTCTTTCCATGCGGAATAGGCCAGTAAAGATCGTCAGCTCATCGCACCCTCTTACAGGACCCATTCGCTAAATTTCGGCGCTGGGCTATTCTAAAACTAGGTGCAAAAGATAGAGCAAGTTCTGCTCTTAGTTCCTAGTCTGCTAGTAGATTCGAAAACCGTCATAAAAAAAAGTTATAGCTAATTGAAAACTTCGGAAAACATTGAATTGGAATCGTCGCGTAAATTTTTAAAACCCCAAGTTGACTCAATATTGGGTAGTTCATGACAGATACTCTTCCAGAAAATGTAGTTGAGGCATTTGAGCCAATATTTAGCTGGATTTGAGCCCAGACGATAACTTGCACCTCATTTTTCAAATTTCAAACCATCAGAAGTCTCGTTTTCAACGCTCGATTTTGACAAAACCACTATGAAAAAATAGAGCAAAGTCTCTTCTATTTTTTGAGCGGTCGCTCAGATTAAGAAACTGCCCGTTTAAAAAAGTTACAGAGGTTTGAAAGCGCAGAAGGCGTGCCCCCCTTTGCTTTAAGAACCGATTACGCGTCGATTGGAGCGTGCCGTAGCCTAGCCCCGTCTTCCTCTCTCATGCGCGTTTTTCTTAAAGGATGAATCGCCGTGTGTTGTCGATAACCTTTTTTGTCGAAATATCGTTTTGCCGAAATCTCATTTCGTCGAAATATCATTATTGCTAAATTTCATTTTGTCGAAACTTAATGCGCTGAAATTTCAAATTGCGGAATGTTTGAGGTCACTAATCGAGGCGAAAAAAGCATGAAATTTTGACAAATTGAAATGTCGACAAAATGAGTTTTCGAAAAACTATTTTCTGTAAAATGAAAATAAGCCGATTTGGGGTTTTCCGGGGATTTGCTTGAACGAATTTCCACATTATGATTTTCGACTTCATAAAATTTCGACATTATGATTTTCCAAACCGTATTTGCCAGTTGAAGTGCGCCCTTCCGACCCAAAAGAATCCCATTTTGGCACGGTTCCACAAATTTCCCGCATCCTCTCGATTCTATAGTCTTCGCCCTGCCACCCCGATCGGAATCTATGGTGTGCGAATCGGGGGCTCTCATCTCAATTTCTCCAGCACCGTTTCCTGTCCTTGACGCCATTTCTGGGTGCTCGCCATTCTGCTGTGGAACGGGTAGCCTCGCTCAGTTATGCCAAGAATTTCACGGTTTTTTTGTGCAAAAGTTCAGAAGAAAGAAGGGCGTAATGAACTTCTAATTTACATATTACCTTCACTAAATTTTTTGCTTTCCTTGCGCATAAAAAGTTTACAAATCTTAATGCTCCATCAGATTAATTTCGAAGAATCGATTTTCCTACCTAAAATGCCAAAAATACCGAATTTTGAAACATATTGGTCACACTAGGTAAAAAACTTGTAAAACCAGAGGCCTTGGGGGCGATCTATGATTGGTTGGGGCGCAGGGTGTGTTTGTAGAAATGTTTGCCCATGTTCCATGTCGTTTCGGCGCTCCTCGAAGCTCAAGGCACACCATCATCGATTTGAGACGTTCTCCTTCGTAGAATCGAGTCGATTTCGCTGCTTTTGCAATATCGGGGGGTATCAGAGGAACCTATTTTTTCGTTAGCCTCCATTGTTTTCTAATATACATAGTTGTTAGCAACATTTTTGCAATTAAGAAAACGCACAAACTGAGAGATTTTTGTTAAAGATACAAAATATAGATTCACACGCCAAAAGTCCGTTTCGACCAAAATTTTCGAATTTTTAAAAACTTGTTGATTGGATTAGATAATTTCCCACTGGAACTATGGTTAAATTTTACTAAAAAGCTAGTAAGATATTTACGGTTACGTTACTAGGCATTCCTGGAATTATGCAAACCCCCCGATAATGCCAAAGCACCCGGAGTTTGTTTAAGGAGAACTACACTGCCGGACATAATTTTGGCCCACCCCAAATTTTCGTGAATTTCTCGGCCCCGTACTAATGAACGGGGAAACGCTTCAAGTATGTTATTTACCACGCTGTTGAAAAACAAGGGCTTAAAGGAAATCTCGGAAAAAATCTTACATTTTGCGAAAATCCATTTTTTAGTCGAAATTCCATTCTGGCAAGTGGTCATAATTTTGGCCCACCCGAAGAAACCGGGTCTTCTTGGAGATGAGGTTCGGTTTTGTGCTTCCAGTCAAGCAGCAGGGGTCTACGGCCGTCCCATCCCATTTCCTAGAATTTCGTCGTGAGAAGAGCAAAATTTTCACCCGTGGGGTCGTGCCAATCAAAGCGCGAGCCATTAGGAGCATAGCCACAAATTCCCAGACACGAGACTCCAAAAGCTAAGGCTTTGCGACTCAGTTTTCCTTCCACTGGGCAGTGTGGCTCAAACTCGGTTTTGCTCAACCTCATCTCCAAGAAGATAAACCAGAACCAGTACGAGTACACCTCCGGACGATCGCCGCGACCATTTATCGGGCCAAATCCGGGCGAGAACTTCGTGTCCGGCAAATTAATGCCTCGATTGATCAGGAAAACCGCTCAAAATCGAGATTCCGACGTCACGGAATTCCACTTTTTGCGCGGGTAGTCAAGTCCCGCGTCGCGATAGAATAAAACACAGTTGGGGCTACACGTTTACAATGCTCTGCTTCAAAAATAACCCCTAATAAAACGTTAAATCACCCAAGAAGGCGATCTTAGAGGCTTGGCTGACCTCGCGCAGCAGCGCATCGGTAACCTGATCATGAGCCTGGACAATCGACTTTTCCAAATAATCCCTTGTTTGGGTTGACCAATCGATTATTAATTCATTGATTGAATAAAATTTTAAGCTGTTTTTGGGTGCATTTGACCCGGTTTCTTCGGGTGGGCCAAAATTATGACCACTTGCCAGAATGGAATTTCGACTAAAAAATGGATTTTCGCAAAATGTAAGATTTTTTCCGAGATTTCCTTTAAGCCCTTGTTTTTCAACAGCGTGGTAAATAACATACTTGAAGCGTTTCCCCGTTCATTAGTACGGGGCCGAGAAATTCACGAAAATTTGGGGTGGGCCAAAATTATGTCCGGCAGTGTAGTAAAAAAAATAGCAATTTTTGTTTCACTTTTCCCAACTTCTAATTCCCTGCATCGGCAAGCCGTTCATTCCCCCCCGAAACCCTCGTGCAATAATTGTGTCGGCTGCGGGCATCATTTGTCTAGTCAAAACATGGGACCCCGGAATGAAAATAATTCGTCTTGGCGGCCAACGGCATTCTTTTCGCTCGAATCACTGACTTCCCAGGGCCAATTCGTTTGCTAAAAACTGTAGGCAGCTTCTTAAAAATACCATGCTCATCCGGCTGCTCCATTGCGAGGTTTCTCGGTTGGTGGCGAGATTCGGGTTCTTTCGCATTATCGGAGGGGCGACGTTTTTAGTATGCAATTTTTGTAATTTAATTGATAACAGGTTTTGTATTATGTATGTCCAAGAGATATATTGTTTTGTATTATTCTAAACCGAAAAACTTTACAATTTCTTTAAACAAAAACAAAAAAAAACATGAATTTTCTGCCTAATTTCGACCTTAAATTTTTAAAGGTTTTTGGATCGTTTTCCGCTTCGAATACAGTTAAATTTTACTAAAAACACATTACTATGCTATTACGTTACGAGCTATTTCTATAAATTATACAAAAAAAATTCGATTTTCCCTCCCCCCGATAACGCGAAAGCACCGGAAATAGCACTATTACGCGTTGTAAAACGTAGTGTCTATAGCAGTCACTCGGAGCGTTGGTTTTTAAAATCGGATTATCATATAAAAATATAGATTTTGGTTCTTTTCAGGCTCTCCGACATGTCGCTACTGCCGGGGGCGCCGGCGAGCAGCAGCACGAGCCTCACCACCACCGTCCAGAATCTTTTCCCAACCATGCCGACGACGATGGCGTCAAGTACGTTTTTTACGCTCAATTTTATCTCTTTTTAGCGATGCTCAGCACGCCGGCGCTATTCCCCTGAGCACCACCACACCTCATACCTGTCCATCCCCCATTTCTACCCCACAAACCTTCCGAAATTTGACGTGAACGCCTCGCTGTGGAAGCTGCACAATGAGCGGACGCTTCAGGTAGACCAGATGATTTTCTGGATGCGCGATTCTTGCGCGTTATCGGGGGGGATAGTCCGCAAATCCCGATTTTCCTAGAAATGTACGCGCAAATATTTTAATAGTGTTTTTAGTAAAATTTAACGATATTGAAAGTGAAAAACTATCTAAAACCTTCAAATTGTTGTAATTTTTGGTTGAACAATCGATATTTTTGCATTTATATGAAAATTATTTTGGCAATTGAAAAGTAAGAGTTAATGAAGCTGCGCTTAGAATATATATCGAGCTTCTAAAACTTAACCTTTTAAGCAATCTCTTTAAAGTTTAAAAGTTTTTAAAAGTCTTACAGTGTTTTCAAGTTTCAAAACCCTGAGAATCTGCTGTTTGCGATTTTTAATTTTATTCATTTGAAAATTTGCTACTTTCTAATTAATAAAATCTTAAATTTTCCTTTTTCAGGTGGAACCGACCGACATGGACGTGGCCTCGATCACCGAGACGACGCGCGATGTGCGCATCAGCGAGGTGGAAGAGGAAGAAGATGATGACAAGGTTTGTAAAACTACTTTCTAAAATTTACACCTATATAATTTAAGCCCCTGGATCTTTCGATGCGTAACGTTTCTCCGTCCCCTTCCACCTCTTCCGTCACGATCATCCACTCGCCATCCCCGTCGTATTCTGTGGAAACCGATCGGCCATCGGTGATCATTGAGGGTACGTTTTACAGGAAACGATATTGGGGAATTTTCTACTTGCGTATTCGTCTATGGCAGTACGACTTTATCTGGAAATCCTAGACGATTTTTTATAATTTTTAACTATTACTAAACATCGATCAGTTGGGAAATCGTTTTTTCTACCTAAACTGGCTCAAATTTTGATGTTTTTAACAGTTTTAATAAGGTTTTTGTACCGAAAATATGGTATTGAAGACTATTAATTCAACTATGAAGTATTTTTTAGTTAATTAGGACACTAATTGGACCCTAGGAGAAATAAAAAATTAGGCCTAAGCTTACACTCAATTCCTCATATTTTAGCAAGCGGTTCTGGACCGTCTGTACGTCGTTCTTCCTCTTCTGTCGGAATCCCATCGTCAACGGCTTCTGTACAAGAACACTTTCGGCGATCACTGAGCGGAAAATGGCCCAGAAGACAGCGTACGGAAGAGGAGAAGGTAGATAATTATAAAAAAAAACATATTAATGATCATTTTATAAATAATATTTTATCACTTTATGATAGATGACAAAAACAAACAAAAAAGCGTCAGTAACAAAAAGTTGCAGGCAAGATCATCGCCCTTCTCGAAACGAGCCTCATTTCGGGAGCACAAAATCATCGAACATTCCACTCCGAGCAGTAAGTTACAAAAAACACATAAATAAGACTAAATCGCTTATTTAAAAATAAAGAAATTATATACTAATAAATTTCAGTCGAAGAGCACTTCCGAAAAGCCCTCGACCCCGACGCCTTCAACAAGTGGAAGCAAAAACAAACAAGCTCCTGATGATCATGATACCATTAATTTATCCACATATTTTTGTACATACCGCGACCTTTGGCTCAACCTGTTGCTATCCCTCGCCTCGACTTGTCTCCCTCTCACTATCTCGCCATCTCTCGCTTTCCCCAGACTCTCCTCAACTAATCCGTGATATTCCGCTCTAGCCATATGAACCGGTGACATTTTTCTTTGTTTGTTTTCGATTTCTGGAATCTGTTCGAGTCTTTTTTCGTGTGCACTTCAGATAAAGATGAAGCGTAAAATACAATTTGATTAATTTGTCGGCGTCAAAATATGAGAAGAGTAAAGCTTAATTTTGAATTTTTTTCAATTTAATTTTGCTTAAAGGTTTCTTCAGCATCACAAGTTAGAGGTACGAATCGATAGGAAAAATCAAAAACTGAATACACATCTCGAAAAACACTTCACTAGACGTAAAACCTCCAAAAAGCAAAAAGAATTGCCCATGGGTGGAATCGAACCACCGTCGCCACGGCCACAACGTGGAGTACTAACCACTATACTACATGGGCCGATAGCCGAGGGCTGGGAGGGGGTTTATGGGCAGGCATAGGCATAGGCATCCGAGGGACTGTGCCTATGCCCAGGAGGCAAACCGGGGGAATGTTTAGAGTATCGCATCGTAGTACCGTATTGATTGAAATTATAATTTCGCAGTCATCTGAAAAATGGTAATCGTTGACTAATCTGCGTTTAGACATCAATTTTTTTTATATCAGCTATTTTAATTCAGTTGTGATGTATTCTTACTCCACACATCTTGACGAAGATTTTGATATACTTTAAAGCTTTACAACCCTTTGGCGCGACAAAACAAAACTCTTACTCCTTTCCTATTCAAAACTGGAGTTTTATCTAGACTTTCAAAGATTGTAAATATACTTCGATTTCTGTAATATCACCGTTTTCGATTTTC